TGCGTCATCGGAAATACAAAACGGAACATATATACATGGAACATAAGAAATATATACATCAAAACTGGAAATCAAGAAAACGAGTGCGAATATCAGCCTCCTGCTCCCAAGTGGCTCCGTGGCGATCCCACTGAATACGAACGAGGGGAACATCACGTTTCAAGAGCCGACGAACCTGTCGGTCCAATACCGTTACTAGTCTCTCCTCGTAAGATAAATCTGGCTGAATATGAATATCAGTATGCTGAAGAACATGGTCTGGATCGCACACGTACTTGCGTAACATGGATACATGGAAAACATTATGAACATTAGACAACTCGGGAGGTAAGGCTAATCGATAAGCAACTTCGCCCACTCGCTTGAGAACTTCGAACGGGCCAATGAATCGAGGATGCAACTTCTCTCTCTTCCCGAATCGAACGATCCCTCAGAATGGACGAACTCTAAGTAAAGCTCGCTCCCCAACCTCAAACTGGATATCTCGTCGATGTTGATCGGCTGATGACTTCTGCTGACTCTGAGCGGTCCTTAACCTTTGCCTAATCAACTCCACCTGTTTTGCTGTCTCCTCGATCATTTTCGGACCGAGTACTCGACGCTCACCGACATCGTCCCAATAAAGAGGGGAACGACACTTACGACCATAAAGTTCCTCATAAGGAGCCATCTGAATAGAAGCATGATAACTGTTGTTGTAGGCAAACTCGACCAATGGCAATAACGACTCCCACTTAGCACCCCTGTCAACAACCAAAGCTCGTAGCATGTCCTCTAATGTCTGAATGGTCCGCTCGGTCTGCCCGTCAGTCTCTGGATGGTAGGCTGAACTGAACTCTAATCGCGTGCCCATCGTTTTGTGCAAGCTCTCCCAGAATCTGCTAGTGAATCTGGGATCCCGGTCTGACACGATAGTAACAGGCACTCCGTGGAGTCGAATGATCCCACGGGTGTAAATCTCAACCAACTTGTCGAAAGACATATTCATTGATACTGGTAAAAAGTGAGCAACCTTAGTCAATCTGTCCACCACGACCCAAATAGCATCGTGATGTTCAGACGACCTCGGTAACCCCGTGACAAAATCCATCGTAACTTTCTCCCACTTCCACTTAGGAATCTCGAGTGGTTGCAGAAGGCCCAAGGGACTCTTGTGTTCTGCTTTGACTTGCTGACAGGTTAAACATTTCCTCACAAAGTCAGCTACGTCCTTCTTCATCCCTCGCCACCAGAACGACATTTTCAGGTCATGATACATCTTCGTGCTCCCTGGATGGGCTAAATATGGTGCAGTATGAGCTTCGGTCAATATCTCTTTCCGCAACGCCTCGACTTTTGGTACAACAATCCTACCTCAAAACTCCAAGGCCCCATCAGTGCCTCGGTGGAAACCCTCAACGCCTCCGGCGCGGACTTTGGCATCAATAGCACAAATAAACTCATCCGAAGCCTGCTCCCGTCGGATTCTTTCCCTCAACGTAGGCTGGACCTGCATAGAACTAACACTCCCAGTAATCGCCGTAGAAAGTGCATCAACAACCTGAATCTACATCCGGGCGAACTCTTGGATAAGAAAGTTCTGCTGAGTAACAACATAAGTCAAGTCACCCTTCACTTTGCGGCTTAGGGCATCAGCAACGACATTCGCTTTCCCCGGATGGTACTGGATAGTGCAATCATAATCTTTGACAAGCTCTAGCCAACGACACTGTCTCATGTTGAGCTCCTTTTGAGTGAAAATATACTATAAGCTCTTGTGGTCAGTGAAAATCTCACATCGTCCGCCGTATAAATAATGTCGCCAAATCTTGAGGGCATGAATGACTGCTGCTAGCTCCAACTCGTGCGTAGGATAATTCTGTTCATGGGGCTTTAATTGGCGTGAAGCATAAGCAACGACCTAGCCCTCCTGCATAAGTACGCATCCCAAACCCTGTCTTGAAGCATCACTGAAAATGGTGAAACTCCGAGAAAGATCGGGAATAGTCAACACCGGTGCTGTGGAAAGCCTCTTCTTGAGCTCCTGAAAGCTCGATTCACATCTTTCTGTCCACTCGAACTTCACAGATTTCCTCGTCAGCTGGGATAATGGAAGGGTAATCTTAGAGAAACCCTCGATAAACCTGCGATAATAGCCAGCCTGTAACGCCCTGATTTTACTAATAAAGGAAAAATACTAGCCTTTAAATTTAAGCTAGCCTTTGTTAATAAATGTTCAAGTCAATGTTCAAGTCCAAATTATTCAGCTAAGTTAAATTCCAAGTTCTACATTAAGTCGAAGACGTATTCGGTTAATTTTATTTATTAACCGAGTCAATGATAGTAATTAATCTCAGTCCATTTATTTAATAAATGGAAATTAGTAAGTTATGCCAATGTTGACGTATTAATTAATTTGAGAATATTCGATTAATCGTCAAAAGTCGAGTTTCAAGCCAATTATTGAGTTTCAGTTAAAGTTTGACTTTTAGTCGATAAGATATTCGGTTAATTATTTCAGTAACTGAATAAGTTTCCAGATTTAATTCCAGTTTGTTTATATAATAAATGAGTTGGAAATAATAAGTTAAGTCAATGTATTATTCGAAGTCACGTTTATGCCCGGAATAAATTTTAGATAATTAATTATGATCATGCTTGATTATTTTCTTAAGGCCGTGCTTAGTACTAAAAAGTGCCGAGAGGAGTTGGAAAGATTTCATGTGAAATATCATTATTTCATTTGTGCTATGTGGCACCACGTTCAGGTTCCATAAAATGACTAAGCATATTAAAGTACACCTTAGGCCCTAGATGCACGGCACATGGCACGAGTTGATTGGTTGTGCGTTTGACTTAGAATTTCACCTCATTTTGTCCATCTTCATCCGCCTCTTTATTTAAGTGTCGAGGTGAAAATTACAACTTATCACTTAAGTTATATCCTAAACAAATATTAAGCAAGCATTAAGATAAGATAAGCAAAGTTCTACGCACACGCACGCACGGAGGAGTGAGGCCGATCGATCTTGCAGATTTGTTCAAGTGAACGAGCGATTGAAAAGTTTGATCAGGCTACGATTATCAGCACTACCTTTTCATTTCCATGAATCAGGTGGGGACTCAGACTGGGTATTACATGGATTATAATTACTCTACCATGTTTGAGGTATGTATTATCAGTCAGTATTCGCTCGGAATGGTCATCGGTCCATTCTGGGTTCTAGTGGCCCTAGTCTGCCCACTAGAGTGTGCACATGGTGTCCGGCATTTCTATGCTGGCAGATGTATCAGTCAGGTGATGATTATCACGATATCAGTATCAGATCATGCTTATTCAGTTGTGGTTTCAGTTCAGTTATATATGCCAAGATCATGTTATTGCAATTATTTTTACTGTTTACTTTAGTATGAGTTCCTACGGAGCACAGTGGATTTTATTTCTCACGCCCCACTTTTATTATGTTTTTCAGGTCATGGAGTCGGACCGGAGGTGTGAGATTGCGGTCGGTTCAGGATTATGCTTATAAAGTTTGAATTATGCCGAGCGGGCTGTTACTATCTCCCGTAGGGGGATTTACCTGTTTCACCGCTACGGTTTCCGCTGAGTTTTCACTGTTTGTTGAACTTAGCCCTTTTGATCCGATGACTGTTATCAGACTGTTAGTCCGTTTTCTTAAAAACAAAAACGTCGGATTTAAAGTAAAGTCATGTATTATGGTAGCACTCCGAATCAGTATTTCGCAAATTAAATATTTTTATTATGAAAAACTTTGCGAAAAACGCACTCTGATTTTCATGAAATAGCGGGGTGTTACAGATGGTATCAGAGCACGTTTCTGCGTCTCTGAAAACTTTTACGAGACAAATTTTTTTATAAAACCTAAACACGTCACGCTCACGCCTCGCCGACTACAGGTAAGTGCTGATTCATGTTTTAAATTATAAACATATTACTATGTCTATGCTCAGAAAAACCACAGTTATGACTTAGTTAAAATGCTCAAATCATGTTCAGGATTCATATTTCAGTCTATCCATGATTAATGTCAGTATTTTCCTGTCATGATTAGCAACTCGTCAAGAGATTTGTGCGCTTTATTAATCAGCTTCCAATTACTATGTATGATGCCATCAGTAAGGATGTTCGAATCAGAATTCAGAACCTTAGAAAGGGGCTAAGTTTGAGAACTCTAGATTAAATTCTAGATTTATTCAGGTCAAGTTAATGACCCGTCAAGAGACTTGTAAGCATTTATGTTGTACAAATCTTAGCAATCATCTTCCTCAGACATTTTTCCATCGAAATTGCTCATTTTTGCCAAGCAGTTGCATGTTCCAGGGAGAAATTCCTTGATTCAGCTTAGGGAATAGACTCAAATGTCCTAAGTCCGTCTAGTAGATCATGTTCAAGGCTAAATTTTGATGCTAAAGGTTGTGATATTTCCCAAGCCATTGTCAAACATAACGGTTTCCAGTGTATAAGAGTCAATATTCCGGGTTACCATGGAGGCTTGAAATAAGAGCCACTCAGCCAGGTATACCATGGAGGCTTGAAGCTGGGACCGGAACCATATGATTTCATGTAATAACAACCTTTAAAGTCAGTTATGTCAGGTATGTTATCAATGTAATATTCCAAGTTATGGTTTTTAAAGCTCAAGATCAATTATTTCCTTTGTACTTGCGGGACCAGTTGATACTGGAGTAGCCCTGTATAGTACACAGTCAAAATCAATATTCATGATTTAAAATCAATATTCATGATTTAAAGTCAATGTTCATGAGTTTAAGGTCGACGTATAATAGTTACTAAGCCGGGTTAAATGTGGAGGTTTAAATTACAAATCATTACTCATGTTCCAAATTCCGAGATGACCAATTAATTGTCTCAGGATAGCTTCCAGAGCTCAAGTAAGGGTTATATAGTCATGTAAAAGTCAAGTCAGGATAATCCAGTTATGTGAATATTAAGGCCAGTCATGTCAAAGTCAAGGATGATCTATCTAATAAGACAAGACTTATCAGTCATTTCAAGTATGTCCAGTGCCTCGATTCTCAAATTCAGAAAATTTGAGAAATCGCAGAAAAGATTTAGTTCATGATAGATTTTCTTGAGGTTAAGTTTAACCTCACAGAAAGTAAAGCTTTGCAGGTACAGCAGGGCGATGTTCGACACATCTTTCATTCGTGATAGAGAAGACCAATCAACAACAACAAACAACGCCGTGGTGACAAACCGACGCTTTCCATTCAAGGATGCATGTTGCAAGAAGAGAACGATGCCATGCCTGAGTCACAATACACTGGGAGATCACGGACAGTTGGCATTATAGTACATTGAGGTTACTAGCTTGAGATACAGATTGATCAGCTATACAGACTACGTCGACGTCGCAGGTGCCGCATGTAGGCGTGCCGCACTCACTTGATGAGGAGCAGGTGTGCTGCATTGCAATAAGCTGCGAACGATGTGTCGCGTTATCGAGTAGATGTTCACGAAAGGTAGTGACCAAGATTGCTAGTTATCCTCATTTGTACATGTGCGTATCTCTGAAATTTTCCGTGTGTACCAACGATTTGGGTTCCACAATCAATGTTCAGACTGAAGATCAACAATCAACCAGGAGATGATGACCAGTGCGCTCAAGAATTATGCTCTTAATGTCATGTATAATCAGTGGAATACTTTATTTCAGAAAAGTGTCCATTCTCAGCCAGCATTAGTCAACAATTCACTTAATTGTGAATTGAGAACTCTCCAGTTAAGATCAAAGTCTAATGTTCAGTATTTAAATACTGAATTTTCAAGTTACGCCATCAGTAAATATAAGCTTTATGTTAAGCTTGTACATTCCAGTTTTAGTATTTCCGAGGACGGAAATATTTTAAGGAGGGTGGATTGTAACGCCCTGATTTTATTAATAAAGGAAAAATACTAGCCTTTAAATTTAAGCTAGCCTATGTTAATAAATGTTCAAGTCAATGTTCAAGTCCAAGTTATTCAGCTAAGTTAAATTCCAAGTTCGACATTAAGTCGAAGATATATTCGGTTAATTTATTTATTACCCGAGTCAATGATAGTAATTAATCTCAGTCCATTTATTTAATAAATGGAAATTAGTAAGTTATGCCAATGTTGACGTACTAATTGATTTGAGAATATTCGATTAATCGTCAAAAGTTGAGTTTCAAGCCAATTATTGAATTTCAGTTAAAGTTTGACTTTTAGTCGATAAGATATTCGGTTAATTATTTCAATAACTTAATGAGTTTCCAGATTTAATTCCAAATTTGTTTATATAATAAATGAGTTGCAAATAATAAGTTAAGTCAATGTATTATTCGAAGTCACGTTTATGCCCGGAATAAATTTTAGATAATTAATTATGATCATGCTTGATTATTTTCTTAAGGTCGTGCTTAGTACTAAGAAGTGCCGAGAGGAGTTGGAAAGATTTCATGTGAAATATCATTATTTCATTTGTGCTATGTGGCACCACGTTCAGGTTCCATAAAATGACTAAGCATATTAAAGTACACCTTAGGCCTTTGATGCACGACACATGGCACGAGTCGATTGGTTGTGCGTTTGACTTAGAATTTCACCTCATTTTGTCCATCTTCATCTGCCTCTTTATTTAAGTGTTCAGGTGAAAAATACAGCTTATCACTTAAGCTATATCCTAAACAAATATTAAGCAATCATTAAGATAAGATAAGCAAAGTTCTATGCACACGCACGCACGGAGGAGTGAGGCCGATCGATCTTGCAGATTTGTTCAAGTGAACGAGCGATTGCAAAGTATGATCAGGCTACGATTATCAGCACTACCTTTTTATTTCGACGGATCAGGTGGGGACTCAGACTGGGTATTACATTGATTATAATGACTCTACCATGTTTGAGATATGTATTATCAGTCAGTATCCGCTCGGAATGGTCACCGGTCCATTCTGGGTTCTAGTGGCCCTAGTCTGCCCACTAGAGTGTGCACATGGTGTTCGACATTTCTATGCTGGCAGATGTATCAGTCAGGTGATGGTTATCACGATATCAGTATCAGATCATGCTTATTCAGTACCGGTTTCAGTTCAGTTATATATGCCAGGATCATGTTATTGCAATTATTTTCACTGTTTACTTTAGTATGAGTTCCTACGGAGTACAGTGGATTTTAGTGCTCACGCCCCACTTTTATTATGTTTTTCAGGTCATGGAGTCGGACCGGAGGTGTGAGATGGCGGTCGGTTCAGGATTATGCTTATAAAGTTTGAATTATGCCGAGCGGGCTGCTACTATCTCCCGTAGGGGGATTTACCTGTTTCACTACTACGATTTCTGCTGAGTTTTCACTGTTTGTCAAACTTAGCCCTTTTGATCCGATGACTGTTATCAGACTGTTAGTCCGTTTTGTTAAAAACAAAAACATCGGATTTAAAGTAAAGTCATGTATTATGGTAGCACTCCGAATCAGTATTTTGCAAATTCAATATTTTTATCTTGAAAAACTTTGTGAAAAATGCACTCTGATTTTCATGAAATAGTGTGGTGTTACAGATGGTATCAGAGCACGTTTCTGCGTCTCTGAAAACTTTTATGAGTCAAATTTTTTTATAAAACCTGAACACGTCACGCTCACGCCTCGCCGACTACAGGTAAGTGCTGATTCATGTTTTAAATTATAAACAAATTACTATGTCTATTCTCAGAAAAACCACAGTTATGACTTAGTTAAGATGCTCAAATCATGTTCAGGATTCATATTTCAGTCTATCCATGATTAATGTCAGTATTTTCCTGTCATTATTAGCAACTCGTCAAGAGATTTGTGCGATTTATTAATCAGCTTCCAATTACTATGTATGATGCCATCAGTAAGGATGTTCGAATCAGAATTCAGAACCTTAGAAAGGGGCTAAGTTTGAGAACTCTAGATTAAGTTCTAGATTTATTCAGGTCAAGTTAATGACCCGTCAAGAGACTTGTAAGCATTTATGTTGTACAAATCTTAGCAATCATGTTCCTCAGACATTTTTCCATCGAAATTGCTCATTTTTGCCAAGCAGTTGGCATGTTCCAGGGAGAAATTCCTTGATTCAGCTCAGGGAATAGACTCAAATGTCCTAAGTCCGTCTAGTAGATCATGTTCAAGGCTAAATTTTGGATGCTAAAGGTTGTGATATTTCCCAAGCCATTGTGAAACATAACGGTTTCCAGTGTATAAGAGTCAATATTCCGGGTTACCATGGAGGCTTGAAATAAGAGCCACTCATCCGGGTATACCATGGAGGCTTGAAGCTGGGACCGGAACCGTATGATTTCATGTAATAAGAACCTTTAAAGTCAGTTATGTCAGGTATGTTATCAATGTAATATTCCAAGTTATGGTTTTTAAAGCTCAAGATCAATTATTTCCTTTGTACTTGCGGGACCAGTTGATACTGGAGTAGCCCTGTATAGTACACAGTCAAAATCAATATTCATGATTTAAAATCAATATTCACGATTTAAAGTCAATGTTCATGAGTTTAAGGTCGACGTATAATAGTTACTAAGTCGGGTTAAATGTGGAGGTTTAAATTACAAATCATTACTCCAAATTTACCTGGAAACTTGAAGTCGCACCTTATCAAGCCGCTGTAAGTCAGTAAATGTCATGTTCCAAATTCCGAGATGACCAATTAATTGTCTCAGGATAGCTTCCAGAGTTAAAGTAAGGGTTATATAGTCATGTAAAAGTCAAGTCAGGATAATCCAGTTATGTGAATATTAAGGCCAGTCATGTCAAAGTCAAGGATGATCTGTCTAATAAGACAAGACTTATCAGTCATTTCAAGTATGTCCAGTGCCTCGATTCTCAAATTCAGAAAATTTGAGAAATCGCAGGAAAGATTAGTTCATGATAGATTTTCTTGAGGTTAAGTTTAACATCAGGGAAAGTAAAGGTTTGCAGGTACAGCAGGGCGATGTTCGACACATCTTTCATTCGTGATAGAGAAGACCAATCAACAACAACAGACAACGCCGTGGTGACAAACCGACGCTTTCCATTCAAGGATGCATGTTGCAAGAAGAGAACGATGCCATGCCTGAGTCACAGTACACTAGGAGATCACGGAGAGTTGGCATTATAGTACATTGAGGTTACTAGCTTGAGATACAGATATGATCAGCTATACAGACTACGTCGACGTAGCAGGTGCCGCATGTAGGCGTGCCGCACTCACTTGATGAGGAGCAGGTGTGCTGCATTGCAATAAGCCGCGAACGATGTGCCGCGTTATCGAGTAGATGTTCACGAAAGGTAGTGACCAAGATTGCTAGTTATCCTCATTTGTACATGTCCGTATCTCTGAAATTTTCCGTGTGTACCAACGATTTGGGTTCCACAATCAACGTTTAAACTGAAGATCAACAATCAACCAGGAGATGATGACCAGTGCGCTCAAGAATTATGCTCTTAATGTCATGTATAATTAGTGGAATACTTTATTTCAAAAAAGTGTCCATTCTCAGCCAGCATTAGTCAACAATTCACTTAATTGTGAATTGAGAACTCTCCAGTTAAGATCAAAGTCTAATGTACAGTATTTAACTACTGAATTTCCAAGTTACGCCATCAGTAAGTATAAGCTTTATGTTAAGCTTGTACATTCCAGTTTTAGTATTTCCGAGGACGGAAATATTTTAAGGAGGGTGGATTGTAACGCCCTGATTTTATTAATAAAGGAAAAATACTAGCCTTTAAATTTAAGCTAGCCTTTGTTAATAAATGTTCAAGTCAATGTTCAAGTCCAAGTTATGCAGCTAAGTTAAATTCCAAGTTCGACATTAAGTCGAAGATATATTCGGTTAATTTATTTATTAGCCGAGTCAATGATAGTAATTAATCTCAGTCCATTTATTTAATAAATGGAAATTAGTAAGTTATGCCAATGTTGACGTATTAATTGATTTGAGAACATTCGATTAATTGTCAAAAGTTGAGTTTTAAGCCAATTATTGAGTTTCAGTTAAAGTTTGACTTTTAGTCGATAAGATATTCGGTTAATTATTTCAATAACTGAATGAGTTTCCAGATTTAATTCCAATTTGTTCATATAATAAATGAGTTGCAAATAATAAGTTAAGTCAATGTATTATTCGAAGTCACGTTTATGCCCGGAATAAATTTTAG